GATCAGTTTCAGCAGCGGCTGACGCCAGTTCCGACTTACATACAGATTCAACTTAAGAACAAACCTACAGTCCCTATCTTGTATGTAACCCGGGGACTGCCTGTAATAGATTCCCTCAATCTCCACCAGCCATAGAGGGGAAGCATATGTCCATAGTTGCCACAACTGTCATTCTTTACCTGTCCATCAGAAAGCTCTGGGATGTTGGTGCTTGGCACCTTTCAGTGAGGATTTTAGGTTTTATCTCAGAGTATCTCACTGTGTCTATAATACACTAATAATTCTGAATGAAGCTAGCAAGTATTATGAGATATATACCAAGTTAATTATGTATTCTGGCCCAATAATTGCAAACTGCAGTAAAGACACGCCTGATTGGTATGTATTAAACAAGATTTCTAAGAAAAGCATGTACATAAAGCATATCACACACAAACTAAACATTAATGCTAAGAAATGGTCATAAAGTTTCTTCAAATTACTTGAAGACTTTGAGCAACCTTAATAAGGAAATAAACAATATGACAAGTATAGTACAATACAAAATACTTAATCTGTAGATATTTATTCCATGAATTCAAATGGGTTTTCAAACTTTATGCCTTTTTTATGCGAAACTGTGTTTTTGCTCTGCCAAATCATTCCACATTTGGAAGTAGAAAGACAAAAATAAAAATTGGAGAATTTTCATTTATAGAGAAGAAACATTTGATCATCTTATACAATATCAGTGCACTTATATACATGATGTTGATACTTAGCCCTTCTATCACATCTCACCTGTATTTCAGGTAATACATTGAGGAAACCCCAGGAAGAATACAAATAGGAATTCTCAGCCAGCTGCTCTCCAGGTACCCAGGGCACCATACTTCCATAACCATAGTGTAGTTTTTGATCACAAACAAATATGATCTTTTCTGTTCAACAACAGTAGGAAACTAAAAGTGTCTGTTATAATCTTAGCAATCTGACAAAAATGTTTTCAACTGTAGTTCACTCCATATCTAAAAATGTACTTGAGTACCTAGGTAAGTTTACCAGCATTACAAGAAAACTCCCTAGTAGCAAATGCCATGTACAGATAGCATGGTATCCTAATCAATTGTTATTTAGCAGAACAAAAAGGCTAGGTGGAAATTGCAGGCTGTATATTTTACTACTAGCCAATTTAAGTTGCTATAGTAATAGAAATAATAATAACAATACTTTAGAATTTAAATATTTAATGTTTATATTATTAAATATTTAATTTATATTAAATAATATGATAATTAATATTGAGGTCACAGTTGTCTAAAGCCAATCAGTCAGATTCCAGCCTCTGTAAGCTAGTCTTCTGTGTCTGCATTCAATAATAATCCTAATTAATTTAAAGAAGGAAATTGTGCAGCTAGTGATCTTGACTAGTTACGCAGACATTTTCCAGCTGCTCATTTAATTTGATACAATTATGCTGTGTTAATCATTCATACACTTTTTAGCATTAGATTAGAATGCAGCAAAAATGCCAAAATCTTCTCAAACCACGGAAAAATTGCATGATGAGAGTGTCTTCAGTTCAAAAACTAAAATGCAGCAGGGAACTAACATTTTTCAATAGTTTCCATTATTATAAACTTGTGAAGCTGTGAAATGGAACCACAAAATTCAGACTACTTTATGTTACAAGATTGCCCACAGTTTTGTCAGAAGGTGCAATGTGCATTAGATACACAAACCCATTTTATATTGTATTAACAACCTATCGTGTCGAGATAAGCCAAACTGAGAAGTCTTGGTATGTGTGAGCATCTGCAAATACAGGCAGTCCCCGAGTTACGCGGATCCGACTTACATCAGATCCGCAGTTACGAACGGGGCGTTCCTCTCCCTGGTCTCCAGCAGACCAGGGAGAGGAAGCAAAGCGGCGGAACACGTGGGCAGCGGACAGGGCTGTCCGCTGCCCACGCGCTCCGAGGCTTGGCTCTGCTTTGCCCCCCCCTCCCCGTCCCCCTGGTCTGCAGACAAACCGGGCAGCACCCCAGCTGTTCTGCCCCAGGCATCCTGATTCAGCCACTGCTGGTCAGATTCAGCAGCGGCTGGAT